CAGGAAACTGTTACAAAAGTTCAATTATTAATCTTGTTGAAATTGTTATTAAGTGAATGTATTCCACTAACTTCGTCCTTTAAACTTGTGAAATCCGCCTTCCTAAATAGAGACAACTAGGTAATTAATGTGGTCGAAAATTTGAGAGAAGAATTTGATAAACTTTCTTTACTCCAATGCGATAATTATGATTACATATCTCTAATATCCCAAATTTTCTGAAATTCTAGCATTTAAGTTGAGGACCTTTGTGTGAGAAAATATTATTTTGGGGCTTATTGGCTAAAATTTCCAAACTTGAGGGACTTAAAAGAGAAAGGATTTGGATAAGGACCAGGTGATTTTTCTTCCTTCTTTCTTCCCCAGCCATTTCGCCTTTTTGCTCTTCTTTTCTTCCCCATGCACCGAGCAAGAAAGCCCAGCCACCAACCCACACCACCCCTTGAAAAATCGGTAAGAAGCTTGAGATTTTCCCTTATTTTCTTGTTCAAGGACAAGATTTAGGACTTAGGACACTCTCCCAAACCCAGAATTTTCCAAATCTACACTGTTTCCTTTCCCCTTATGCCTTGTTTGGATAGAAAATAGTAAAGGGAAGGGAAGGCAGGGGAATGGAGGAAAATAAAAGGAAATGGAGGGGGAGGAAAAGAATGGGAAGGGAAGAAAATAGAAGGAAATGATTTGTGTTAATTTTGTTTGGATAAATAAAAATGAGGAAGGGGAAGGGAAGTGAAGAATTGTATTATTTTATGTTTGGATAATTAAGGTAAAAGGAAGGGAAGGAAGAGAATGATTTAAATTAATTTTAAATTTACAAATTTACCCTTTAAGCTGGTAATGGAGAAGGATATAATAAAAAAATTAAGGTTAATTTTGTAATTACATTTAACTTAATGTAAACAGCCACTCAAATCCCTCCCAAACCCCCCAAATCGGGCGGATTGCAAATTTGCAAATTTGAGGGGGGTTGAAGGGAGTCCGAATCAGTCCATCTCGCTTCCCCTCTGCCTCTTTGGAAACCCAAACGATAGGAAGGAGACGGCTCCCCCTCACTCCCCCTCCCTTGCCATCCGTCCCCATCCCTTCCCCTCCCTCTCCGTCCGACACCTCCAATCCAAACAATACCTTACTGTCCGTCGGCTTCTGCTATGTGTGATTTCTGGGCATTTTTTTTCGATAAGCCACAGCCATGAACTCTATCTTTTCAGCTTGATTTAGCTTGGGTTCATTTTAAATCTGTTGTTCCTTCAATTTTGGGTTAATTCTATGAGTCCCCTGTAGAATTGCCGCCGACTTCTCCCCCTGCCAGGTCGGGTTCTGCAGCTGCTAAATTCTAGTATATCAACAACTCCTCCAAGCCTGAAATTTCATCAATTAGTTGCTGAATTTTGTCCATTTATTTGTTGCCCTGTGCTATCCGAATTTTGCTGAAAATTGGGGATGAATTTCGATAGTAATTAGAGCATAATTAAGCTTAATTCATGTGTAAATTGCTTGAGTTGGCTGCTGTGATTTTTGAAGAGAAATCCCGTGAGATTAGCTATGGTCTTACCAATTTTTGGAAGTTGCAGTTACTATTCATTACGTGATTACTGTTTATGAGTACTGTTCACGCACTAATGGCCAACAATAGGAGGGTTTAAATGTGTAGTTATATTGAAAATAAAATTGAGATGTTTGGTCATATGGTTGAATTTCGTGTGGAGCTCATTGGTTAGTAAATTTGCAAGGTTGTGCTAATAATTCTAGCAAAGTCTAAATGTATTTATTTGGAATATTAAGTGCTGTTATGGCTTAGAGCATTGGGATTGAGTCCTCGGTTTATGCGATTGAGGTAAGTAAATTATGGTAACGCCCTTCAACTTTAAAAGTATATTTTAACTTGTTTTTTAAGTGGTGGCGGGACTAAACCCGTTTTATACAAAAATGAGCATGATTGATTTGAAATAAGATTATTATTCTTTTTATTGATTTGAGCATGCCTTCTTGGAGTTTATTTAACCGCCCTGATGATCTGGAAATTATCTGTAAAGTATGATTTTCTGTTAAATTCTGCCTGTTTTGTCTCCAATATGGTCATGTTATTCGTGTGCCCGCTAGTGGGAGATTTATAAACGCTAGCACATGTCAACATGTTACTGATAGAACCGGTTCGTTCATGTTATCCTGCTAGTGGGATTATACAACAGTAAATCGTGTGCCTGCCAGTGGGAGGTTTATAACACTGGCCATGACCTATAGAGGAGACGTCTATTTCATTTCCGTACTTGTATCTATTTTTCGTGATTATACTAGTTGGCACTCTTTAAGTTTAATTAAGGGCTATCCATATTTACTTACTGAGTTATCTCATAGTTTTTCCTTGTCCACCATTTCAGGAAGCGAAGTCAAGGACGAGGAAAAACGAGGGGAGTGACGAGTTAGAAGACTAGCCATCTTGTAAATTTGATATAGATTTTAGATATAGATCATGATCTTGTAAGCTAGATTTTAATTGGAGACTATATAAATTCATTTAATGGATTGTTAGTTTACAAGAGATTTGACCTTGAGATTTTGAGCTTAAGTCATGTTGGACATAGAATTATTTTGAAATATCTGACGGCGTCTACCACGTCCCTGGATTTGGGTTCTGCGGCGTGACAATATCGAAGAAAGGGAAAATAAAAACTTCTATGGACAGAGATGAATTGATACCTTGGCTTCTAAACGTTAAAACATGCAAGAGATATAACCGCCAAGTTCAAAAGTTATATAACTCTCCTTGTGATATTTTTGGAACTTAAACGACATATTTCACAATTGAGAAACTTTTATTTTCATATTTACACTTCAACCTCAATCTAATGCATCCTAGTGCATAGCAAGGTAAAATCAATTTCCTCCCTCTTTACGCATTAATATGAAATGCAGCCTATGTGTTTTTTTTTTTTTT